AGGATATGGACTAAGGGGAAAACTCTTGCATTGCTGGTGGGAGTGAAAACTTGTACATTCACTTTGGAAATCAGTGTGATGGTTTCTCAGAAAATTGGGAATCAATCGACCTCAAGACCCAGCAATATTATATATCTATATATCTAAAGGATACATCTGAAGGATGGGCATATATCTAAAGGGTACCCAATCATACCACAAGGACATTTGCTCAACCGTGCTCATAGCAGCATTATCCGTAATAGCCAGAACCTGGAAACAATCTAAATGCGCCCCAACCAAAGAATGGATAAAAAAATGTGATACATTTGCACAATGAAGTACTACTCGGTGATATAAAACAATGACATCTTAAAACTTGTATGCAAATGAATGGATCTACAAAAAAAAAACATCCTGAGTAAGGTAACCCAGACCCAGATAGATAAACATGGTATGTACTCACTCATAAGTGGGTCCCAGAGAAGCTAGGTAACAAGGAGAACCCTAAAAGAGACATATTGGAATCCCCAGGGAAGGGGAAACAGACAAGATCTCCTGAGAAAATTAGAAATGAGGGGAGGAGGAGGGAGAGGAGGAAGGAAGGGTGAGGAGAACATGAGGAAATGGGATGCTCAAGAAGGGAGAAGGGCAGAGGGAGAGAAAGGAAAAAATATCTTGATTGAGGGAGTCATTAAAGGGCTAGAGAGAAACATGGCACTAGGGAAATTTGCAGAAATCCACAAGGCTGACCCCAGCTAAGACTCTAAGCAACAGAGGAGAGGATGTAGTAATAAGGGCGGCGGGGCTGCGCCCCCAGCACCCCGGCTGCCTGCTCGGCTAGCTTATGCCCTGAAATAACAACACACAAACTGTATTCATTTAAACACTGCTTGGCCCATTCTCTTCTAGGCTAATTCTCACATATTAATTTAGCCCACTTCTAATCATCTGTGTATGGCACCCCAAGGTGCGCTTACCAGGAAGATTCTAGCCTATGTCCATCCTGGGTCGGAGCTTCATCCTGGGAGCGGGGCATGGCGTCTCTCTCAGGCGTCTGCTCCAGAGAGGAGAGCTGTCGAGACTGAGCTCACTTCCTCTTCCTCCCAGTATCCTGTTCTGTTTACTCCACCTATCTTCTAACCAATAAAATGGGCCAAGGCAGTTCCTTTATTAGCCAATGACCTTCCTCCATCAAGAGGACACCTAAACTGGCCTTTCCCTATAATGAGATTGATGGCTACCTTAAGTTTCATCATAGAACCTTCATCCAGCAACTTATGGAAGCAGATACAGAGATCCACAGTGAAGCACTGGGCCGCTACCGGAGTCCAGCCCAAGAGATGGAGGAACAAAGGGGTCAAGATCATGATGGTGATACCCACAGAAACAGCTGACCTGAGCTAATAAGGGCTCACTGATTCTGGACTGACAGTGGGGAAAGCAGCATAGGACAAAACTAGGTCCACTGAATGTGGAGGACAGTTGTGTGGCGTGGGCAGGCTGTGGGGCCACTGGCAGTGGGACCAGGACTTATCTGTAGTGCTTGAACTGGTGTCTTGGAGACTATTCTCTTTGGAGGGATACATCACTCAGCCTAGATACAGGGGGGAGCACCTTGGCCTTGCCTTGAAGTGAAGTGTCAGACTTCCTTGACTCCTTGTGGAAAGCCTTACCCTCACTGAGCAGTGTACAGGAAGGGGGTGGAGAGAGGGGGGATGGGAGGAGGGGAGGGAGTGGAAATGGGGATAAGCATGTAAAATGAGAAAGGACTGCACTCAAAAAATTCTTAAGAAAAAAAGGAAAAAAATAAAAAAAAGTCTGAAAAGAGTACAATGCCAACAGACATGCTAACATGGAAGTGGAAAATCTCCCAGGGCTTTGTCTCCTTAGACAAAGATCTACAGGCAACTAAAGAATCCTGACAATGAGAGAAACAGTTCTTCGCCTAGAATGAGGCCCCGACTGGTTATGCGACACCAAGTGGTCATCTGTGAAATCATATATACACAACAAGTGATGCTCAGTGGACCAAGCAGATTTTGTATGTGTGTGTGTGTGTGTGTGTGTGTGTGTGAGAGAGAGAGAGAGAGAGAGAGAGAGAGAGAGAGAGAGAGAGAGAGAGGAATTAATTTTAAAAAGGCTATGCCTTCTAGAGGGAACAGAGAGGGATCCACAGGAGGAATTAGAGGGAAGAAAGGGAGAGGGAAAATTATGTAATTATATTTTAAGTTTTGAAACAGATTTGTTTCATTTTATGTGTATGGGTCTTTTGTCTGGATGGATGTCTGTGCAGCACCAGTGTGGCCAGAAGAGCGCATCACATACCTTGGAAGTGTATGTAGTTAAGGATGGCTGTGAGCCACTTTGTGGATGCTGGGACTTGAACCAGGATTCCTTGACAGTACTTTCAACAACTCTTAATCCTGTCTTCAGTTGTAAAAGGCTTGTTCTAAGATTGGGTAACATAATAGGTTGGACCACAAAGAAGTGTATGCGCTCATTACCCTCATCGTAACTTCTTTTGGAATGATTCAAGATGCTCACATTCTCAGATCACTGCATTCTTTTATGAACTCCACATTCCCTGACTACCTTTAGGAGACCTAAAAAAGTTCCGATAGATAGACCTGCAAGTTCATAGGATGCTGAACCCAGAGAACCCGAGTCACGAACAGTGTGCTACAGACTGAAGGTGTTCACTTTGTCTTTTCTCAGCCATATCATATGCTCTGTCCAATGCCCACGTCTGGGATCATAAAAATATTGACATCTTGTCAAGGTACAATATTGATCCCAGGTCAAAAGATGTGCCCTCATCAGGGCCATAGTTTCAAGGAACTAGAAGCCAAATCATGATGGTGGAGTGAGATTTATGGAGAATCTTCAAGTCCTTCCTGAGACATAGCCATTAGATCAGCAGAGAAACTCTTCATTGAGAGCTTTCTGTGGAACCAGGGAATAAAGTTCTCAAGGTAGTCTAAGGCGGTGGCTTTGTTCTGTGTACTTCATAGACAACCCTCCTCCTATCGACCCTCACAGAGAACCCTGAGGTCATTAAAAGAGTGACTCATAGTGACAATACAGGCAAGCAACAATAACCATCTGTTGGTGTGTTCTGAGGTGTTAGCCCACATCAAATCACTGTATATCATGTACAAATATACTGGCTTATGAGTCATGGTATTTTTAGTTTCCCCTCTTCTTAATGCTTTCTTAGAAGATCCTTAAGTTGTCTCAGAGTGATTAATACTTTATAAATCACCAAGATAGCATAAATTTATGAATTTATGCATGTTAGTAGAAGAAACTATATAGCAGCTAAGAGCTGAATTTTTGTGACATTATCTGTGTTTTCACTTAAGCAGAACACCATTTATTAAATACAACGAAGCTCAGAGAAATTGTGAAATGTCTAAGTTTAATTACTTCTCTGTTGTTTTCTGCTGTTCCAGAGGTTAGTTTGGAATTTTGTGAAACTTCTTACTAGTTTCCTTTGGAAACAACTTACGTACTATCTCTTCCCAGATACTCCTAAATTGAGCCTTTTGGTATTTCCACAGGTGAGGAAAATGCCCTTCCACTAGGCTATCACTTCATGTTTTGAAACCTGTACACATCTTTTTCCCCCCAAATGGCAACTTGGTCATATTTCAAACTTCAAACCCATGTGAATTTCTACCAAGTTTATCTTAATAATATCTGAGTTCTTTCTGTTATCTTTGGATAGGAAAGTCGAAAATAAAAGTGATGTTTTCAGGCTGGAGGCATGGCTCCAGTCAGTAAGGCACTTGCATTGCAAGCGTGAGCACCTATGTAAAAATGCCAAGTTTAGTGCCAGACACACTAAGCTCTGAGGCTGAGACAGGCAGATCCCTGTTCAGCCAGGCCAGCTTAGTTGTTGAGTTCAAGGTCAATAGGAGAAACCTGTCTTAAAAGGACTGGATATCATTCCTAAGAAGGATGCCTGAGTTCACACACACACACACACACACACACACACACACACACACACACTCCCCTGATGATTTCCTACTGCTAAGCTTATTTAACCTCTATGATTTTCCCTCTCCATTAAAAAACAGAAATCAAATTATACAATTGAGATCCATCTAATTTGTCATCCCTGATAATTCAAAAATACATATTCTTTCAATCCCCCATTTGGGTTTATCATGGAAACCAGCTAATATTGATGCACCACGGTTACATATACTTACAAATATCGGCACTAGTTCACAAAATAACATTAATTACCACAGATATCTTTAAAAAGCGTTTTACTTTGGAAACAGTATTTGCCATGCACATAAAATGTATTTCAGCAGATAATTGTCATCAAATGAAAAGAATATAATTTTGCCTGAGGGGATATTATTTTTTTTCCAGTTATAAATTGACCATGTCCATGGATGGCACAAATGTTCCTCTATTTCCCCACAGAGCCCATCAATGGACCCTAGGGAAATGAGTAGGAGGCACTGAATAGCTCCCAACTGTCCAGTGCCAGCATTTGGTGTGTGCTGCAGGGGATGCCACATGGTGGTGACACAATTGTTTGAGAAGTTCTCTCTGCTTTTATTTCATTGAACTTTGGTACAGTTTAGTCAGAGAGACAGAGCTTGACCACTTTTTATGGACTACTGAAAATACTGGTATTTTTTAAGAGCAGATGTGAGGTTCTTCTCAACGGCATGCAGACACATCAGAGCCTATGCTTCTTCTCAATGGCATGCAGACACATCAGAGCCTACGTTTCTTCCTAGGCACTCTTTTCCCCAAAATATTTTCTAGATGAGCTGGGGAAGATATTTGAATACGAATGGTGCCACAAAGAAAGAAGAAAGCAGCGAGCCTGCCAATGTCCTTTTTCTGATTTCTGTGCCGTGTATTGATTATTTCCCACTGATCTGAGCAATGGCAGCTGTTAGAAAATTTTTCAGACATTCTTTTATTGAAACCTTTATGAAAAATTCAGGCAACCGGGCCTCTTGCCACATATGACCACATTCTGCAAAGAGCTAGACTGTTTCCTTGAACACCCGACTATAAGCTACGTGATTGTCTGTGGTCAGAGCATTTTTCAGACACTGCCAAAAGTATGGGTGAGCCTGTGGATTTGAAGGCCACTCCAGGACAGAACTCCCACAGAGTCTCTTCCGGAGCTGAAGAAACTTAGACTTCTGCAGAGGCTTCTCCAAGAAAATCAAGATAATCACATCTACTTTTTCATCTATGAGCCTCTGATGGGACAGATAAAAGGCTACCTTAAAACTCTCAGTCTTTGCGTATTTCTGGGTCATCACAAACACTGTCTTTCTGCTGAGTTGTATGCTCTGGGAAAGATTTTCTAGAACTGGCTGTCCTGGTAGCCAGTCCCTTTCCTCTAGACACAAATTAAAATGTTTCTCTCTTGGGTCTTCCAGTTTAGCCACCAGCTCCTGCAAAACCCACTCCGTCACAGCTGAATTTTTAGTGTCATACACAATAAAAGCATCATAGCAAGACTCCATTGATTGCAGACGCTGGTAGCCCTTTATCTTGGCTTTCCAGAAATAGTAAATGCACCACATATCCCAGAAAAAGAGATGACTTGTTGTCATGACTACCATCAAAAAAGAGGACTGAAGCAATGGAAACTGAGAACAGAATCAGGTTCGTGAGATCTAACTCACACGTATACAGATCCAAGGATATGACACTCTGACCTTTGTGTGCTCCTGGTCCGGCACAGGTCACTTCAGTGGCCAGGTGAGGAATAGTAACTTCTGTATGATTAACCCACCAGACAAACCACACAGCATCACAGTTGCACAGAAAGTGATTGCGATGTAAGAGCAACATATTCAGTTTATTGAGGACATTTTCTGAGAAGCTAGTCTTCTGAATGACCTGAATCTTATTTAAACTGAGGTCTAGATAACGCAACTGAATCAGCTTCGTGAGATTTTGGGAACAGTCGGCTAACCTTTTAGGGACAGTTGTCAGCAGGTTGTGGCTGAGGTCCAAATTTTTTAGATGTTTCAGTAGCTGGAGTTTTTCCCAAGGGAAATGCTTGATACCATTTTCTGCCATGGAGAGGGTCTTTAGATTTGGTGGCATTCCCTCAAACACCCCATTAGGCAAGGAACTCAGCGAATTCCTGGAGATATCTAATTCCTCCAATTTCAACAGATTCTTGAAGAAGCCCAAGTATCTGTTATCACCGTCTCTCCATAGAACATCCAAATGGTTGCCTCTAAATTCCAGAATTTGAAGAGAGTCGCTTTCCATGGTCCTGCTGGCAGAGGTAGAGATGTCATTGTCATTCATCATGAGTTTCTTCAGAGACCGTAGTTTCTTGGTGAAGTTCAGCATGTGAGTAATTCCTTCTGCTTGAAAGTAGTGACTGTTGCTACTTAAATCCAGAACTACCAGCTTGTGGAGCTCCTCAAAGGCTGTGGAGTAGAGTAAATCAAGTCGGTTGTTGGAGAAGTCTAGGTATCGCAGCTCTCTTAAGGGCTGGAATTCACTGCCATTAAGAGTTTGGCCAATGGTGTTTCCTGACAAGTTGAGGCATGTAAGGAATGAAAGATGCTGAAAATCAGAGGGCTTGATAAAAAATATATTATTTCTACTTAGGTCTAAGGTATGTTCATATGTGTGGCAGTCTTCATTAGAAGGTAAGTAAGTAGGCAACTCTTTGGTTTTGTTCCTGCAGCTCCGTGCATATTCATCATACCGGAAATAATGCAAGGTCTCAAGGACCTGGGGCCCATGGCGGTCTACAGAAGTTCTGGCATTAGGACAGGAGCCAACTTCCCTTGGCTCTTCAGAAGGGGATATTTTATTCATCGAAAGGTCTATGAGTTTGAGGTTTTTAAACTGTTTGAATATGTTGAGGTCAGCAATTTTTATGAAGTTAGTGCCAAGGTCAAGAACTTCGAGACTGGAAACATTGTGCAATACAGAAAGGCTAGAGTTTTTCAGCTCTTTAAAGACATAGCCTTTTATATGCAGAGTTTTTAAGTTTCTCAGCAATGAGAGTGACTGTGGTAAAGTTATAGATGCATGGTAGACCTGCAGCTCATAATTGAAAGACAGATCCAACTGGACAAGGTTAGGGAGAAACATCAAAAATTTGGCCTCCTCAATTTCTTTGGCCAAGTAGTTTTGGGAGAGGTCTAGTTCTTGGAGGTTTCTCATGTTTTTAAACCATGCTTGAGGCACATGCTGAAGAGAGTTACTGTGGAGACGTAAAACTTTTAATTCTGTCAATGAACTGAAAGCATTGTCATGGATCTGCAAGAGGGAATTATTTTCACATGGTGTACACATATATGGGACATTGTAACAGCGAGGGCAATTTCCACTTAGGTCAAGAATTTGCAATTGGTTGAGGTTATTAAAATCGTCTTCTTGGATCTTTGTAATGATGTTGTTATAAAGATAGAGTTTTATTAAATTAGATGGCAAAGTGGTGGGGACAGCTGTGACATTGTTATCTTTCAGCGAGAGAACTTTTAAATTTTTCATAACAAGGAAAGCATCCTTTTCGATATAATAAGAAACATTGCAAGGATTGCGATAATAACAGTTTTGACCTAGATAGAGTTCTTCAATGTTGGCCAGTTCTGTTAGATTCTCCTTTGTGATGGAGAAGATATTGTTGGCCTCGAGGCTCAGAAGCTGTAAGCTGGATGGGAGATCCTGAGGTATCTCTAGAAGTTGGTTTCCATCCAGATAAAGGGCTTTTAAGTCAGAGAGTCCATTAAAGCTTCTAGGTCTAATCTGAAGCCTTTTGGTACACACATTGACTTTGGACCCCAGTAGAATAGGTACACAGTTGCATCTGAAATCGATCTCTTCCAGATGGGTCAGCTTACGGAAGGAGTCTGGAGAAATGCTTGGTATGTGGTTGATGGTAAGGGTGAGGTTGGTGGTGTTAGTGGGAATGCCCTCAGGGATTTCTGTCAAATGCTTGTCTGTGCAGTCCACAGTCACATAGGTCATTGTACTATCTTGATTGACATCACAAGGTAGAGTTTTAGGAAACCATCGAGACCCAAGGACTCTAGAAACTAAGGTCATATTTAAAAAGATAAAGATTTGTCTCTTTAGTGTCCTTACTGGAAATACCTGAAAATAAAAGAAAGAATAAATTATTGTTATAAAATATACCGAGAAACAATTCAAACGTCCCATTTGCTTCCTCTCTTTTGGCAAATTATAAAAATAAATAGCATAGATCTCTTCTGTTGTAGTGTAAACAGCACCTCTGGCCCTATGACTGTCCTTTTCCAACACTAAAGTTTTCAATAAATTGGTTTTATGTTTCGCTTGTAGAATCTCAGCTCTCTAACACAATATCTTAAAGCATTTTTTCATTTATCTATTTATCTTGTGTGAGTGTGAATATGTGCATATGCGTGCGGATGTGCACACACCATGGCAAGGTTGTGGAGGTCAGAGGACTTGTGAGAGTCTGTTCTCTCCTTCCACCTTGTGGGTTTTGCAGATCAAACTTAGGTCTTCAGGCTTGTTGGCAAGTAGCCTTACCGTTTTAGTTATTGCTCTATTGCTGTGAAACTCCATGAGTAAGACAGCTTATCAAAGGAAGCATTTAGTCAGGTTCCTATTTATAATTTCAGAGGGTTAGTCTGCTCATCATGGCAGGAAGCATGGTAGCAGGCAGGTAGGCACGACACTGGAGCAGTAGCGGGGAGTGTTCATGTGTGATATGTAAACAGCAGTCAGACTGGCGCTGGCATGGACTTTCGAAAACTCAAAGCCCACCATCAGTGACACACCTCTTTCAACAAGGCCACGCCTCCTCCAGCAAAGCCATACCTCCTAATTGCTCCCAAAAGTTCCATTAACTGGGAACCAAATGTTCCAACATAAGCCTATGGGGCCATTTCATTCACACCACCATACTTACCCACTGAGCCATCTCCTTTGCTGTCCAAAACAGATTTTAAGATTCTATTTGTTGTTACATAGAGTGCTACAACAGAGAGGCAACAAACTACAAAATTTGGGGGCTAAGGAATGCTGAAATATATATACACTTGAGGGCAACAATGCACTAAGACGCTAGTATAGCTAATGCTTTCTTGCTAAGCCTTCCTTGGAATATATGCAAAAATGTTTCATGATTGTCAAGTCTCATAATATTCCAAGGACGAAAAGAAAAAATCAATCCATTCTCTCTCTATTACAAATTAAGACACAGCTCAGCAATAGTCACGGATTTTCGTAATGGCTTCCAATTATTAAACATGTGCTTCTGCCATTTTGTAATCAGGGTCTCTCCTCACATTCTTTTTGGAAGTCACTGCAGAAACCACCTGCAAGATGCTTTCTCCTGCTTTCCTTGCGCACTGGGGTTTGTTAGGATTGCGAGCTTGAGACACCTAGTTTGAGGGAAAAACAGTTACATAAACCTTCAGGCAAAGGATTGCTTTGAGCTGACCATGCATCAGGATTTGAAGGAGAGCGTTATCCTGCTTGGAGAAAGTGGAGCCCGACCTTCGAAGGTTCTTTGTGAGAAAATAGGGAGAGAGGAAGGTGTACCATTGGGAAATGGGTCCAGGATTCACTGACATCACCATACTAGATTAGAGAAACTTGTTTTTTTTTTTCTTTTGTAAAATGAGGATGTTTCTGAGGAGGGTGTTTGAAACATCTCAAGGACATTCTCGGATAAGGGGCTTCTGGAAGAGCATCGGTTCTAGTTAGTCTGTGATGTATCTGTTGGCCACTTTTCCTGCCTATTAGCCAGACTCCTTTTAGGGCTTTGTTGTCTGGAAGAGCCCATTTACAGGAAGCTGAGGAGCAGAGAGATGTCAGGGGAGGAAGGCTGCAACTGAGTGTGGCCTGTCAGCTTCCTATAGTGGCTGGGCTGATCAAGAAAGAGACCGTACCTGGAAGGCATGGATTCTACTATATACTTTGGAAAGGTGTGTATAGCATCATCAGGGCACTGCCTGGGTGAGCCATACTCACATCAGCCACACTACTGGTAGAATGGAATGTTTAATAGGACTGAAGGAGACCATAGTTAATCGTTGTGCTAAGACTAAACTAAGGACCTCTCAAGCAAAATGGAATATATAGACACCCATTTCGAAAGGCAATACTTGTGAGCATTTCAATATAGCACAGGAGGTTTTCTGGTGATAAATGAGAGTCAGTGAAGAGCTCTGCTGATCCACTGGTACCAAGGCAGAACAGGTTAAAGTATGCATGGTCTTGCTCTTATGTTTCAGGAGTTTGTTAGTAGTTTACTCCTGAACTCTCTTTCAGATTTTCTAATACTTGTCCATGGGACGATGCAGTCTGCTTCTTTATGAACAGACATCTAGTTCAACTATTGATTTTGTCCTGCCTCTGACAATCTATTATTAGTACCATCTAACAAACCGAATGTTTATATGCCTTAATTCCTCTAATAGGGAGAAAACAAGCCACAAAATTTTCTCCATCTTTCTCTTCCCTAACACGGGATCAGTGACTCTCATTCTGTGGGTCGTGACCCATCTAGGGGTCGTACATCAGATATTTACATTAGGATTCCTAACAGAAGCAAAAGTACAATTATGAAGTAGCAATGAAATAATGTTATGATGGGGAGGGGCCACCACAACATGAGGAGCTGTATTAAAGGGTTGCAACATTAGGAGGGTTGAGAATCTCTATACAAGTTATCTCTTAAGTATCTCCTAGGGCATTTTGTTGTTGTTGTGGAGGTGGTTTGTTTTTTACTCATCTTTACATATCTAAACTTTGTGGGAAGTTGTGTCCTCTGCTTCTCTTGCAGGGCCCTGTGCTTTCTTCTCCATAATTAAAACCATTCATTGGAAGGCTGGGGAAATGACTCCTTGATAATATGCTTGACGTACAACCATGGGGCCTGACTTCAGGACAAAGGCTGATGCTTGGAGCTCACTAGTCAGCCAGTCAGTCCAGCCAATCAGTGAGTTGGGGATTTAGTAAGGGAACTTCTCTCAATAAATAATGTGGAAAGCAATAGAAAAAGACAATGTTGACCTCTGACCTTTACAGGCATGTGCCTGCTCATGGACACACACACACACACACACACACACACACACACACACACACAGTGAGTTTGGATGAGCTCATTCATTGTCTTTTTCAACATCCTGTTTGCTTTCCCATTTTTAGAGTATCTATCTTATTTTTATTTTATGTGTATGTGTGTTTGGGCTACATATATGTCTGTATACCATGGGTGTGCCTGATGCCTGCAGAAACTGGAGATGAAGACAGTTGTGAACTGTCGTGTAGGTGCTGGGAACTAAACCTGGGTCCTCTGGAAGAGCAGCCAGTGTTGTTAACTGCTAAGTCATCTATCTTTCCAACCCATGTTTTCCCATTTTTACTGACACAATATTAGCTCTGACTATTCCAAAACTTGTCTCTAGGACCATATACTTTTAACCCACATTACCCAACAAGCTTTCCAACCTTCAACCATTATCCCACTGTACAATGTTTCAAATGATTTTCTTTTCTAAAATATGAACTTAGGATTTTTATTATAGACAAAAATATTGCCTGCATAGATTAACTTTTTAAAGATTTCTCTCTGTATCTGCATCTGTTTCTCTGTGTGTATGACAGAGGGGGGTAAGGAGGGAGGAAAAGAGAGAGAGACAGAAAGAGTCAATCTGTGTTTCCTTCTGTGTGGATTAAGTGTCTGTTTAGGTGCCTACAGAGGCCAGAAGAAGGCATTGGATTCCATGGAGCTGTTTCAGGCTGTTGTGAGCCTCTTGACTATTTCTAACTTTGATATTTTAACTCGCCCCAGTTAGGATAGTCAAGATCAACAAAACAGTTGACAGCAAATGCTGGTAAAGCTGCAGAGAAGGAGGAACCCCTCATTCGCTGTTGTTGGTCAGGCAAATTGGTACAGTAACTTTGGAAATCAGCATGGAGGATTCTCTAAAACATAAAAACTCATCTACTATATGACTCAGCTTCTTCACTCTTTGGCATATGCCCAAAGGACTCAACATTCTGCTCCACAGACAATTGCTCAGGCTCGTTCATTGCTATCTTATTCACAATAGCCAGAAATGGAAACAACCTAAATGTCCTTCAGCACATGAATAGACAATGAAAACGTGAACATGTACACAATGGAATACTATTCAGCTGCGAAGAAAAGGGAAATCAGGAACTTTGCAGGCAAGTGGGTGGACCTAGAAAAGATTATATTGAGTGAGCTAACCCAGACACAGAAAGACAAACGCCACATGTTTTGTATCCCATCTGAGGTTCTTAGCTCCAAATCTTCAGGTGTGAATATACCGTATGGAATAACCACAGAAAAAGGTACCATAGGTGGGCTGGGTGGGAGGGAAGTATCAGGATACAGGTGATATGAAGTGACAAATTGAATAATTGGGAAGGGACTTCCACCACGGAAGGAGAACAGTCAGTACAGAAGAAGTGAGTGAGAAAAAATATTATACTTGTATGAAAAAGACTCAATAAATCATATTATTTTATATTTACTTGAAATTATAAACTATATATGTGTCTATATATGAATGTATGTCTATATATGAGTATATGTGTTTGTGGTGGATATATATATATATATATGTATATATATATATCCCACTTTGACTGACTATGTTCCCACAATATCTATAGGCAAAAAAGCAAACCAAACAATAACCCAGTACCCCAAACATGAAACCTCCTTTCAAAATATTGGTTAAGGTAGCCTAAAGGATACAGGTTATTGATGTAGCCCATGGTTGCCTTTCAGGGGTTGAAGGCGGACCCTATTGCTGAAGACACCACAGACTTAGGACACCTGACAAATATGACTGAAGCTAGATCTGATATTAAAGTCTCTTTTTTGCAGTCTAGCTTCCATGGGGACCAGAAAATCCTATGCAGACTGCCAAGAGAGGGAAGCAATCAAACATCCCTACCCAGCTGCCCATGAATCATGACAATGACCAGCCTGGCAAGACATGCATACAGGTGCAATAAGTGGCAATCACATATTAATGGCAACCAACGGCTGTGTAATTGGACTAATGGACCACTCAACAGGAGGGAAATTATGCCTGGTGCTGAAAACCTAGCCAGCTTCCCAGGGATAGCAAAGTCACGGCTGTTAGAAAATATCCGTGACCACCACTTATAGCTAGATAGCACAATCCCTTACAATATTTTGAATCTTATCCTTACACTCTCAAATATCAGATCATTGTAGCTAGCACCCCTCATCAGAGAAGCTTCTCTTCATAGCAAATGGAGCCCATCACAGAAAATCAAAACTGGACACAATGCAGAGATCAACAGATAATTGGGAGCCTGACCCAAACGGCTACATTTCCATGACAGCTCCTGCATCTATGGCTCAGGGAACACTGCAGGAGAGAGAGAGTGGAAAGACTTGGAGAGTCAGAATACTTGAAAAGTCGGCTGTGAAATAGTCTTTACCAGAAAGAGCTGCACAGAAAGACCAGAACAATGGCAATGTGAACATGAAAGAGAGAAAATTGCCAAGAACTAAAGGTGACTATTGATTACTGGGAGAAGGAAAAGGAGCCTCTTCCTGTGATGAGTCCCTTATTGATTGTTTAATGCAAAGTTGTCAGCCTGAAAGCCACATACACAAAACAACCAAAATGAACTCAACAGGTTGTATTTTTATATATTTATAATACACATAGGTACATAACAAATATAATTGAAGAAAAAGTGGCTATCAACTTGAGAGTGGGCAGGCATGGGAGGGGCTGGAGGAGGAAAGGAAGAGGAAGTAGTATTGGTCTGTTTTAAGCAAATACATTTTTAAAAAGAAAAAGCTCTCTAAGGAAAGTCATAGACAAATGAAGTCAGAATTTCACTAGTGGTGGACTGGTGTTTAACAACCAGCTCCCCCCACCTCAAGAATACTCC